TCACTGTTTACAATTACTGCATGTTTTGCTTAATGATTTCAGCTCCTTTGCCTTCTAAATAATTAGCTATAGCCATAAAGGATTGCATCAATATCGATAACTGTCTCACATGTTTGTCAAAAGACAATTTAATAATCAACTAACCACCCAAGTGGTACCCTCCTTCAACATATCTTCATACTTCATTTGTTGAATGTTAGCAATTATATTGTTTCCTCTAGAGTTTTTTTTTCCTAAAGTTTCCTAGACTGGTGCATTATGTGGTTGAGATTTAATGACAAGTCACATCAATTTTTCAGCATTAAATCTCAACCACACAATACACCACTTTAGGAAACTAATGAAGAAATTTAAAGTTATGATTTATAGGGTTTAAGAGGAAGAAGAAGAAGAAGAAGAAGAAGAAGAAGAAGAGTGATTTTATATATCAGGAATGAAAATATTAACTCTACATCAGCAAAATATATATATAAATCCTAACGTAGTGAAATGACCATCATACCCTCAACTTAAGTAAATATTAACAGAAGGACAATAAAGAAATAAAACATAAAATAACTATTACAACACTCCCTCTCAAGCTGAAGCATAGAGGTCAAACATGGCCAGCTTGACAGATAAACGATGAAACGAAGACCGAGCCAAAGGTTTAGTTATAATATCACCCAATCATCATATGCTTTATCATCAGTTGTAGGAGGTTCGGTAAGGAAGCGGGACTTCTTCTTGCCACGCAAGAAAATTTTGACTGCATCAGCCCAAGCCAAGTACCATTCAATTTCTTTGTAGTGATAGATTTAGGCATGTCATCATCTTTACCCATAGCCATAGCTTTAGCCTTAATCTCAGCCATAATGATCAATTACACAGAATATGCAATAAACAAACACGAATGTAGCAAAATACTTGCAAATAGTCACTATTCGCAGCAATAAGTAGCCACAACAACCAAATATAGACAACAAAACTAGCTCAACAAACAAGAATTCATGACAAATCAGGCATATAAGTGAGGAAGACACAAATCTATCAAACAGATTTAGACCCAAATTGAACCAACACAACAATCCATTAGCGGAAATTAACACTGCAGATCAATTATCCCTTGCTAGAAGGATTTCAACCCTTATATAGTCAATTCCAATGGGTAGAAACGAAGAAAAAAAAAAGTCTACTGAACAAATATTGAAGCTGCTAAACAGATTGAGGCACAAATTTGGACCAAATACTCACCCAACAACATCAACACCAAATATCACTAGGGAGGTAAGTTTCGGCTCCTATAGGATATATATATATTTCAGCAAGAAGAAGGCACCAAAAAATACGAAAAAAATCGAAAATAGAAAACTCAAAAAATTCCACAAAAATCACCATAAATCTCAGGAGAGATTTTCGAGCCTAGGGGTATGGGTTTCGTCTGTACAGTACTGATGTCATGCTGATGTCATTGTACGAATGATGACGTCAGCACGTCGCGGTCACCTCCGATTGATCTCCAGAATCTATAGAACAATTTCTAATAAAGGATAGATTGCTCTGACACCAAGTTAGAATGAATAATGAAGAAATTTAGGGCTAGGGTTTGTAGGGTTTAAGAGAAAGAAGAAGAAGAGAAAAAGTGATTTTATATACCTGGAATGAAAATATTAAGGGGTTGTTTAGAGTGTCCTAAATAAGTGTACTTTTTGTCTTTTTAGACTAAAAAATTGAGGAAAAAAATATGAATGTTTGGGTTAACTTTTTAACTTTTTATAGAAAAATGTGTATTAAAAAAATGTATAAATTAGTGTGTAGGGGAAAATTAAGATTGAGAGTTATGCAACCGTAATTTTTGACTTTTGGTAAATAGTGATAACTTTTTGAGTAACTTTTTGACTTTTTGACAACTTGTCAAACTTGGCCTAAGTCTACATCAGCAAAATATATATACAAACCCTAACATAGTGAAATGACCATCATATCCTCAACTTAAGTAAATATTGACAAAAGGACAATAAAGAAATAAAACAGAAAATAACTATTCTAACAGAGGAATTTGAGCATTGATTTATTAAAAAGATATACCTAGCAAGCAATATGGATTACCTTGCATAAACTATGATTGCTTTTTTTTATTCCCTCTTTTTATTACCTTTCCTTTTCTTCAAAACTAGTGTGCAAGTAAGGGAACAAGAGTATGAGAAACAATCCAATGTACTCAGAGTTCTATATTTATTAATAAAATGTTCTTCAGTTTTTGTGGAATTAGTTTTGATACACTTAAACCCGTTAGCATGTTGTAAGATGTAGGCAATCGGCTGATCAGTCATGGAACAGGAAACTCAATACATAGCCGATCAGGAAAGGACTATACAAGTTTTACAGGCAGGGAAGCATAAACAGCTGTACTTTGTATTTACTATTGTTTCCATGTAAAGTGATTAATACTTTGTGGTATGTGCATGATACCAGTTTTGACACATTCTTGCCAGTTTCTTGCCTTACAGGCTGAACGATCTGAAGTTTCAGCCACGCTTGAATTTCGTGATCAGAAAAATCTTATATTAGGAATGGAGAACAGAGTCGTAAGGCAGCGATTAGACGGTTTATCCCAGGAGCATATGATAAAACACTGTAAATATTCTTTCCTAATGAGACGATTTTATCTAGTAGCAGTAGCTTCATTGCTAAATCATTCTATTTATTGAATAATAATGTCTTACACAAAGCAGGAGCTAAATTTGCCTCGCTTCTATCGAATATGAATTATGAAATATGTTGCATCAATGATATTACTCCCCTTGGTTTTCTTTGGAACAAATTTGCGACTTTGCAGATGTTTTTAAATGTCAATGTTTTGTGCAATAAACTAAGACGAACTCTCTTAAATTTTCCAATTTGTTTATCAAACAAATTTATTCATTCATTTATTTATTTTTTTAATCTTCTTGTCAAGTTTAGCTGTTTACTGAATATTGTGTATTGTATCCTCACACGGTCTTGATTGGTACAGTGGAGCAGGATGTGTTGGAGAGAGAAATCACAAGGCTTAGAACACTATGCCAACTTCATCAGCATCAGAATTCCAAGCATCGCCGAAACAAAACTTGTGACCTTGACCCCCAATTTGCAAGCTTCTCCATTAAAAACCAGGAAGCAGATCCCGGAACTGGTTCAGTTGGTGGTTCAGCAATAATTTTAATTTAGATCTCAATATCTATGTGTATTACTTATTAGTGGTGTTCATTTTTATTTCCTCATTTTCTCTTGATGATATATGTGAGACTCAAATAGAGCCTTTTGATTGTGTATTAGAACAGTCAGGCCCTGCCTTGTCTATTGGGCTTCTAGTGTATGCCTAGTACCTTTGGAAAGCAGGTCTGTTAGAGAGAGAGAGTAAAGAGGCCAGTTCTCTTTTATATAGATGTGCCATGCTTTTGTAAGTATCATCCCCTCATTTTGGGAAATTACAAGAATCAACTCTTTGATAGTGTGGAAATTTTATAAAAGGTTCTGTTAATGTGTGTTCTTAGGTACATGTTAAGAGGCATACAAACTTGTATGTTTTGCATAAAAGTATGTATAATTTTTTCAAACCTCTCAACAAATTTATTTTTATAATGAGGAATTCTTCCAATGCATGAAATGTTACATTGAACTCACTTCAACCTTGAAGAGTAAATTCTTAATATCTTTAAGTTGCAAATATCATATAAAGGCAAGGCAAGACGTTGTTAATAGTAGTATGGTAAGAAGAGATCAATCCCTATTCTAAATTATTGTTTCCATTTTATGTGAGATTTAGTAAGAGCACCAAGCACCCCTTGTGAAACTAAAGAAAAATTATATTTGTAATTGAATTTAGGGAAAATATCAAACAAATCTTAATTTTCCAATTAAATTTTCATTAAGTCCTAGCAATAGAAGGTTAATTCATGAAAAAATTATTGGAAAAGGATGATTTATTAGATAATTTCCCTGAATATGTTTTACCATTTAGTTTCAAAACTTATCATGATTATAAAATAATAGAACTTATCATATTTATAAAATAATCATATGAGAAATTACATAGAAGATAAAGGGTTTCAATAAAATAGTTAGATGACATACGCCTTCAAAACATGCTCGTTGAACTTCACACTAATAATGTGTGTAGTTAGAGAATTTCGGGAGGGATTTGGAAAGGAAAATGAAAAAAGTATGTGAAACTAAGTGAAATGTAAGTATATTTTATTTACATTTCACCTACTTTTTCTATTTCCCTTTCTAAATCTCTCTTCAAATCTCTCAACCAAACACAGCATAAGGCTTTTTCACAATAGATAAAGATGAGAATGAGAAATTACATCGCACAACAATAAAAAAAAAAAAAATTTAAACTTCATACTAAGTATCACATTGGTAAATGAATGAGGCAGCTACTACTCTGTCAATGAATCTTCTCGCTCAATCATGTCGAGTGACCAAATGACCTAATTATCTTTCAAAATCAAATATATATTTGTTTGGTTTCAATTTCATAATTAATTTTTGAAATTTTTCTAAAGAAAATAAAAATTAGTTTGACAAAATTAAACACAAGAAATATATATTTAAATATTTAAAATTTATTTTTGCTCTCAAAAAATATAAAACTATAATTGAGGAGTATTTTTTATTTTTTATTTTTTATTATTATTCACTAAATTAGTTTTAAATATATTTTTTTTAAAAAAAATTCTAAAAATAAATTCTAAAAACCAAACCAAACCGACCCAAAATCTCCAAGTTTTGTAAATTCCATTTGCTTCAGTCGACAGTTGTGCCAAAATGACTAAATTATCCCATACGAAAATAGTTCAACATAAGCAGAAAATGATGGAGTAACACCTTTCCAAATTGCAAGTACTCTGCCAAAAAATAGATTGCTTCCAATATCTTTCAATAATGACACCAAGAGGTTCGGGTTCAAGATTCACATCTACGGAGATCCAACTATGGAGAATCAAAGAAAGAAATCTGATACAACAAACTAGTGCTTGAAAAGGTTTCTTCCATCTTGAACAAAACATCGACAATCAAATTCTAAGAATCAGTTCTCGTACTCAAAGTGAGCACATGTACAGGATCTTGAATAAAAATAAAAATAAAAAGTAGAAACAAAGAGTTTTGTTACTAACATAATTCAAGAACATTATAATAGGATCCCTAATTCGATCTCTTTACATTATGATTCACAATCCTAATGCATCTACCAAACCTAATGAGCACAACTAATACAACATTGCAACAGTTTCTCCTTCTCTCAGCCATGACACATGGTTTCTGGCACAAAGAAGAGCACTTGACTTGCCAAACAAAACTGTTAAAAATAACAAAACTAAAATGTCAGGGAAAAAAAAAATGAATAAAAAATTATTACAAAAACTAAGAACAATGCATGCATCATATCACAAAGAATCCAAAAAAGAAAAATAACATAAAATTGCAGACCTACTAAAATCAAAAGAACAACAAAGAATAGATCACATGAGCCAACTAGACCTAGCCTAGTTGGCCACCATGACTTTCCTAAAGGTTTAGTCCCTAGGAGGAGGTAATGAGTTCAACTCTTCTTAGGGGGAGTTGAATTAAGGAGATAAGCATTTGATGCTTTGCAAAGGGTGAGGAGACTAACTTCCATAAGTGCTAATCTAACAACTAACAACTGACCTTCACCGATCAAAAAAAAAAAAAAAAGAATATATCACATGAAGAGAACGTCAATCTATCTTCAAAGCATCCACAAACCAATAAACAAAATGAATCAAGAAGATAGTAATACATCAAGACGACGTTTACAAACAAAAAATCAAAAACCATTCCAACAATTAATACTCTTAGGCCATGTTTGATTCACAAGACTAATAGTGAAAGTATTAATAATCCTATCAAATTAGTATGGTATTCACTATCCAATTGGATTAGTAAGATAAATTATCTCCTTATCTATTGTTTGATTTGCATTGGATTACTAGGTAAAAGAGTCCTTTTATTTTATTTCCCAACTTAGGATATATAATCCGACCCCTATCCCATTACTAATAATCCTACAAATTTATTGGATTAATAATCCTGAAACAAAATTTCAAAACAAAAACAGGATTATTGGACCCACGGATTAATAATCTCAATTCCATGCTCTAATCCTGTCAATCAAACATGCTCTTAGAGAACGAATCAAACTGATAAGGAAATCCCAGTAAACAAAGAAAAAATGATATGGAGGGTATAAAAGTCCTAAAAATGTCCTTAGCGCCTGAAATGTAGATTTAATACCTAGTAATACTAATGCACATGTCCTTGTGGACCCAAACAACTTCAGCATGGGCTCAAGCCTAGAATGACTTTACAAGGCAGATTTAAGGGTTATTGCCCGTCGTTGTTACATACTTCAATATTTTTAAGAACAGTATAATATAATTCAGAGAGCAGCATTAAATAAAGAGACCATATTCAGGAAACCAACTTTAGAGTAATATCTTTGAAAGATGACCATAAGTTCTAAACCCTCACAACTTAACTGATTAACAAAGCAGACTAACAATTTTTATTTATTATTATTATTATTTTTAATCTTATATGTATACACAATATGAGTAATGAGCTTTTAGTACTCAACATAAACTCATTAGTGGCAAAATAGGTCCCACTACTCTAAAATCCACCACCACCTTGATCCGAATCAAACTCAAAAAAGATCTCCTTTTGAGGTCCAACACCTAGATTTGGAGTCATGCCACCCAAAAGTAAAAAAATGTGAGTTTTACATAAACAATAAGACTTTAATGACTAAAGTTATCCAACATTGTCACATAAGATCACAAGTTTAGTAATATTAAACAAGGTTAAGTGACTGTTTGCTATAGTGTGTCACTTTTGATTGCTCTTTATTTTGTTTTCGACATTTAGGTAGTATTTGGTTCATTGGAATGAAGTGGAATGGAATGATTCCATTCCATCTCATTCCAATAAACCAAATAGAGCATTAGTCATATTTGGTAGCTAGTTGATGCTATTGTTCATTGATGTCACAATCTGCTTCAAGCACTAATATGGAATATGTTCATGGAGCATTCCATCTCTCTATTTAACTATATAGTATGCAGTATATGTCATATCGATAGTATATGGAAGCATGCATACAATGCATCAGCTCAATGCATTCCCACTAAACAAACAATTTATATAAAGAAAAATGTGAATAACACCTGACTACTAATGTTTCTTGAAAGCAGATGCCACGCAGAAATTAAGAATCTCAAAAAATTAGGAGTTAATGAAGATTACCCTCACCTGGCAACATTGCTCTCACCTGCTTCCCAGGAGCTGTTAATGAAATATCCATAACAAATGAAGTTTAGCCAGAAAGCACAAAGGGCTCACAATGACGTCAACAGCAGAACTTGACTTCAAAATGATAGGCATTTACTCAGTCATTCAAACTACAAACAACTCTCTCCTTCATATATTTCCAAGTTTTTTTCTTCTTTTTCCACCTTAATACTGCCATTTTCTCACATTTCCATTTGCGATACCTTTGTCGATCCTTTAGCCAGTCAGAATAATCCTTCCCCCTCTTGCACTCAACGAAATCAACCAAATCATCAAATTCAGATTGTTTTTCCCCAGTTTTCAGTACGCACTTGAGATAAATCTCACCATTACAGGTTTCCTCCTTTTCCTCTTCTATGCTAACAACACACTGTATGTTATCCTTGCCTGAGGAATTTGTTGAAGTTTCTGCTTGCCCATTTTCACTTGCGATAGAAGGCATACAGCAAAAGAATCTCACAAAATTAGATAAAGGGTGAAAAGATTATTTTAGCAGTTATCAATAATAGAAGCAAGTGAATAACACCAACTTTCTCAACAACACATAACTCAGGGTCTATTGGTAGCAAGGGAAATTAAAGTCTGGAAAGAATAAAGGTTGTGACTAGCAATGCTAACATTTGTGTATTATACTATTATGTATGTCGTGGCCTAATTTCTAGAAAACAACCTCAGGAAAAAAATATGAAGTTGTCTTACTTCATCGCAAAATTGATAAATTTGTTTCTCCCAATCAAAAAAAAAAAAATCTGACGAGGAGTGGTTTTATAATGATGCCACAGCAGTAGCACTACAAACTAATTTCAGTATCATGTTGTAACTATACTTTTTTTCCAGAACCAATTTTTCTTCCAAGCAAAACATATATTACAACCTAAACAAAAGACCACCAGGTCCTCCATTACCTATGAAAGTAATGCCGTCTTTCAAATTATAAGTAGATTATAGCAAAGAAGTGAACGTCCAATAGACTGTAAACAACAAACAGATTTAAAAGGATAATAACGATGTTTATGGAATAACATAAACAAAGAAATTCAAGGTGCTAGTTTTAGTAGAGTTACTGCCATCCAAGAAGTTGACAATCTTTTTTTTTTGGAACAGAGATGGAAATTCAAGCACAACATAGATCCAATATAACACATAACATACTTGGACAATTAGCAAATAGCATTTTAGGTACTATCTTATACAATATACACAAGAATATCATATACCTCAAGTACAGTGTCTGGATTTTCTGAAATTTGGATGCAACTACAAGGCTAGAGCTTTGATCCACCTGCAACATTAATCAGTAGTCTGAAAACATGTAACATAAGCATTTAAAAATATATTTATATATATATATATATATTTAAAGAAGACAGGTTAAGCAAAAAAATTCACCTCTTGAACATTATCATGAGGTGATCCAGATGAAATGGGTTCTAATCTGTCAACAAACCTCAATGCATCTAAATTACCCTCTTCGAAAACAAAGAGATTCATCAATGTCACAATTGTCGATATGCAGCCCTTCACTAAGAAATCAAGCCCAGTACAGACACTTAATGATAGCAAACCCAAAAAATGCAACAGCATTAGTTTGGATTCTTTATGCTGCGTTGGGTGAGTTTCCATTAACCCATATAACGGCTTTTGAATTGGTAAACAGATGTTAAATTGTTGGAAACAACTGATAATTCTCACTATAGAATCATATTCCTTGCATGAAGAGAAATCTTTCAAGGTCTTCAAACAACCCAAATTGCCATTATGCATCAGACAACAAATAGCTTGTAACAATGAACAACTCATTAACTTCAAAATCGAAGCAAGAAGATATATATCTTGTGGACTTGTATCCCCACTAGCATATAATGCAGTACTGTCAACTTCATCAGAAAAAGCTTTCAATATAATGCAGCTTAAGTTTGACAAAATCTCATCTCTGAATGATACGTCAACAATATGTTTGCTTTCCTTTATGTATGCAATAGAGGAAGTGGCTAGGTCAGATTTTTTCCTCAAGAGAATGTTGTGTAACCGTGATTGCCATGAATGATCTAACTTGCTAATTAGATCATTAATTTTTTTTCTTGTGTCTGTTTTAACGTAAGACTCGAAAGATGGCTGAGAGTTTCCCCCATATGTACTGAATTTAAGAACAGAATCCTCATCACCTGAAGGACAATCATTCATTTGCAAAGTTGACATGTGTTTCAAGTACAAGATGACTGACCTTTCAAATGCTGATAAGTAACAATCCATTAGTCTGACATCTGGCTTCATATTTTCCAAACCCATGCCAATGGTGTCAGAAGCCATGGAAATCAGATGCGCTTGGAGAAATTTTGGTGCACAAAGCATGGAAGGATTGAGAAGCAATACTAAAACTGCAGTCAGGCTCACTTCAGGAGCTCTGAAATCCTCCCCACGCAGCCAAAACAATCTATTGAGGAAATTTTCAAATGCTTGCTCATCTGGTAACGATAGACAAAAATGAGTAGAGAGAACTTCTATAACACTTCCGATATCACCATGACTAGAGTGGCACATAAATAGCTTTCTATTGGTAGACGAACGAGAATCAATCAGCTTAAAGTACTCTCTTAATTGTCCACGCACCAAAAGCTCATCTGCAAACACCTGACGAAATAATTCTCTATTATACTGGCAAGCTGCAAAGAACCGTTCAAACAGGTAACCGAGTGGAGAAAATTGTACAAGATGAGAGGAAAAGGAGACAATATATATATAACTAGGATCAGGGTTATAAACTTTTAAAAAATTCTTAACATAAACAATACTCATGGTGACAAGACATGACGCAATCATGCTATTAAGTTATACAACTTGCTCAAATACATAATTAATGCAAAAATAAACAAACTTAAGATTTGATATTAGGTATAGTCACTTGAAGAATAATAATGACATTAGCAATGTTTTGGTCCCACGAACTCTTCTACATGTATGAAGTACCTGTGTCACATACTCAACACTTGGATAAGGAAACGAGATGTGTCTAGAAAGTGTAGTTGAACAATTACCTAGCTAGCATACTTAGTAATTTGCATTAATAAAAAAACTATGCATAAAACCTAAGAAGCATGGACACTTTCAAAACAGTGGTTTGTCCGTATCGAACTCATGTTGGACACTCATAAAGTCCATATCGTCTTAGTCCAATCTTTGTCCAAAACTTTCTCCATGCCAATGAAGTTCTTCCATAGCACTTCTTCCATCAAGCTCTGCCATAGCACTTATTGAAGCTTTCAAGGTATCTGACTTATCCATGTGCTTCTAATAGTAGTGGCTAATGTTCAACCCAAAGTCAAACATTACAAAATCATGAAATTGTTGACCTAATCCTAATCCTAACACTAACAATTTCTTTAAGTACAACCAACACCTCTAAGATGTTAGACGAAGATAAATAAAGAAACAACCCTTAAGAGATTAGCTCTTGGTTTCCCAAAGTTTTGTCCCAAATTTCTATTAGTCTAAGTGCCCATTCCACTTGTGCAAATGTTGGCATCCTCAAATCAAAAGATTAACAACTAAGCTACACAAAGCCTTCAAAATTTTGAGAGGACCCATCTCGACATGACACAAGTACGAATATAGAAAACAACCAAGATGTGGTTGTTTCCACCTGGATATGGCAATGAAATTAACAAATAAATTTTTACACTAATGGACCAACCTTCCTTTTGTTTTTCATGGCTAATGCTTCACCAATTAGTTTTACTTCTTCAAAAGAAACTAGAGAAAAGATTATACTCTAGAAGAAAGAGAAAAAAGGGAAAAGCCATGGATCACCATCAGCTTTTCTTCACCAGATACCTATAGGATACACAGTTGACATCAATAATTTGGCTGCCCTATTCACCGACCGACATCATTTGATGTGCTTGTGATGCCTCCAAGGATCGACATCATCCTTGTTGCGTTTCAATTTTCTCACCCTTTCTTCCCCTCTCTTCTTTATTAATCACAACAAACCCTCTTTTTTTACCAAATCACATCTCTTTTCTCTCTTTTCAATTTTTTATTTTTCTTCGTCGATTAAGCAACTCAAGATCTCTTGCCTCAAGAGAGCCATGCCTAAATTCTTATGCTCATAGTCCTCACATACATATATAGCATATTTTGGCTGTGTTTGGTCCTCACATACATATACATGTGTAAAAATAAATTGATGTATATTATTGATTGATGTGTATGTTTATTGATATCATTACAATGATTCATGATTCCTATATATAGAAAAGGGTGGGTGTGTAGTAGGTGAGGAGTAGGTGGAGTAGGTGAGTGTGTAGTAGGTGGTAGTGGTAGGTGTGTAGTAGGTGAATTTTAACAGCCCCCCGCAAACTCAAGGGGATAGGAACTAACCAACTTGAGTTTGGAGAGAGTAACAAAACAAGAAAATACATAAAAATAAAAGAGGATAGGAGACACTGTATGGTCGTGTCAGACCATTGGTGAAGACACTGGATGGTGGTGTCATAACGTTGTAGAGGACACTGTATGGGGGTGTCATAACGTTGTAGAGGACACTGGATGGCGGTGTCAGACCGATGTAGAAGACAGTTTATGGGGTCATGTCGGACCGATGTAGAAGACAGTTTATGGGGTCATGTCGGACCGATGTAGAAGACAGTTTATGGGGTCATGGCGGACCGCAAGTTTGTTCGCGAAATTGACAAGACTAAGGGACCTAACATATCTAATTAGTGTTAAAATGATTGATTAACATAAGAGTATAAGAGCCCTAACTATATGCCATCCAGTACATGTTTTCCCGAAACCTAGTACCTTCTTTCCCCCTTCTTAAAAGTCAACAAGAAAGTTATAGCTAAAAGACAAAATAATGGTGTTACCCTCACCTATTAGCTTGAGAGGGGATGATAAGAGTATTAATCATTAGTAGTCTCAATAGCGGAGTTAGTTGCTTCAACATACTACACCTCTCAAGTGGCATTTGCATAGTGTTTTTTTTTTAAAATAATAATAAATACACATGCAATGTTACATGTTCAAGAAAGTAACTAAGAATGTTGTTTATAATCAGTAATGTCATTGGTCCTAGGATAAAATTTCAAAGGAATTCAAAGATGTAGTGGTCGGAACATAATTCTTTGAAAGATCAAATTATCCCAAACCATATGACACAATCACAAAGATGTCAAAGAAAAAAATGCAAAATAAAATGGAAAAAGTATAGCATCCACTTATTTTGCAAACTCACCCCAAACAATAAATTATAAAAGGCCATATAAATGCATTACCACATAAGAATCCAAGAGTGGTGGATGGTTCCCATCAATAGTGTCTATCCAGCTAAATATCAGGTTATGAAAACCATAAGGCTTGCCAGCCATGCTTAGTGCATACTCCCAAGCAGCAGTCTCATTAAATTTAGCCCGGAGATCAGGATGCAAAGGAAGCATTAACAAAGCATCTAAGAAGCATGGATATGGACAAGGGACCTAGTGATTCTCAAACAATTAGGATATGGACACAATAGGGATACGGTATATTTTTTATATATTTTTATTTACTACCGTATATGAACATAAATTTAGGAAACATAGTTAGGAGAGGCATCTATGTATAGTAAATAAAAATATATAAAAAATATACCGTATCCCTATTGTGTCCATATCCTAATTGTTTGAGAATCACTAGGTCCCTTGTCCATATCCATGCTTCTTAGATACTTTGTCAATGTTTTATCTTGTCCAAACTGCAGATAAAAGATGCTTACACTCTCAAGTTCTTTGAGAACAATTCAAGCCGCCTGCCTAAATGGTGCAATGATGCGGACACTGTGAAGCTTCCATTCTGCCAAATTAAAGGGAAGTATCGAATGGAACTACCTGGATACAATACCATGGATCCATACCCCCACATGAACGAAAAGTGCCCATCTCTGCCTCCAAAATATGACAGGCCTGAGGGTTGTTGAAAGTTTTCTGATTTGTTTTTCCTGTTTAGGAGTCGTTATACCGATGTTTGGTACAGTACCGGGTTGTTTTGATTGTTCATTCATGTATGCCCACCTTGTATTGTATGATGCAAAAGAAAGAAATTTGTCAAAAAACTGTTAGTCAACACAGGTTGATGTTTTTTTTTTTTTTTTTGTAAATTTGGCTACTGCAGTACCAATAATGTCGATGTAATTGTCGTAAATAGGTTTATCAAAAGAGTGGGTATTTGGAAAATAATATATTGTTCCTTATCCTCGTGCCTTTGGAATAATGTGTATGTTGGGATTATCTTTACTGTGTATGTTGGGTATTTGGAAAATAACTCTTGTACTTTTTTTTAACAAGAAATGTCATTTAGTTGGACTTTCTTCTTTTTTTTTTAAAAGAGAGAAGATAGTTTTGTAAATTCCAATTTGCTTCAGTCGACAGTTGTGCCAAAATGACTAAATTATCCATACGAAAATAGTTAACAATAAGCAGAAAATGATGGAGTAACACCTTTCCAAATTGCAAGTACTCTGCACAAAAATAGATTGCTTCCAATATCTTTCAATAATGACACCAAGAGGTTCGGGTTCAAGATTCACATCTACGGAGATCCAACTATGGAGAATCAAAAAGAAAGAAATCTGATACAACAAACTAGTGCTTGAAAAAGGTTTCTTCCATCTTGAACAAAACATCGACAATCAAATTCTAAGATCAGTTCTCGTACTCAAAGTGAGCACATGTAACAGGATCTTGAATAAAATAAAAATAAAAAGTAGAAACAAAAGAGTTTTGTTACTAACATAATTCAAGAACATTAATAGGATCCCTAATTCGATCTCTTTACATTAATGATTCCAATACCTAATGCATCTACCAAACCTAATGAGCACAACTAAATACAACATTGCAACAGTTTCTCCTTCTCTCAGCCATGACACATGGTTTCTGGCACAAAGAAGAGCACTTGGCTTGCCAAACAAAACTGTTAAAATAACAAAACTAAAATGTCAGGGGAGAAAAAAGATAACAAAATTATTACAAAACTAAGACAATGCATGCATCATATCACAAAGATCCAAAAGAAAAATAACATAAAATTGCAGACCTACTAAAATCAAAAGAACAACAAAGAAATAGATCACATGGAGCCAACTAGACCTAGCCTAGTTGGCCACCAATGACTTTCTAAGGTTTAGTCCTAGGAGGAGGTAATGAGTTCAACTCTTCTTAGGGGGAGTTGAATTAAGGAGATAAGCATTTGATGCTTTGCAAAGGGTGAGGAGACTAACTTCCATAAGTGCTAATTCTAACAACTAAACAACTGACCTTCCACCGATCAAAAAAAAAAAAAAGAATATATCACATGAAGAGAACGTCAATCTATCTTCAAAGCATCCACAAACCAATAACAAAAATGAATCAAGAAGATAGTAATACATCAAGACGACGTTTACAAACAAAAAATCAAAAACCATTCCAACAATTAATACTCTTAGGCCATGTTTGATTCACAAGACTAATAGTGAAAGTATTAATAATCCTATCAAATTAGTATGGTATTCACTATCCAATTGGATTAGTAAGATAAATTATCTCCTTATCCTATTGTTTGATTTGCATTGGATTACTAGGTAAAAAGAGTCCTTTTATTTTATTTCCCAA